TGGAATCCGAGGGAACAGAATTATATAGGACATGCCTCCTGCCACTGGTGGGGCCTCATCTGGAATGGGGCTTTACAAAGACTGTTAGACACAGTAACAGACTAATGTAAAAACTCGGATGTCACAGCTGTTGTTAGCCATGCTGCGGTGCCAAAATGAGAACATGTGTTTCTTTCCCGAGAGCACCCTGAAATGTATTTCCACAATGTCAATTTTTGTTGGCTCCTTGAAAAATCTTTGCGCTCAACAGTGTTAAGATAAACAGAACTTCCGCCTTTTAATGAGCAGAGTGGTGTTTATCATTTCAACAATTTAAATAATAACAACTACGTATCAAGCCCTGAACTAATGATACTGTTTGATGATGACTTCAAGTTTCCAGAACACTTTCCCACCCAGCCATTCGGTCCTCCCAAAAAACTGGGAAGGGGATGCCATTATTATCCCTGCTTTATAGGGGAGGAAAAACTGAAGTTCAGAGAGTCTCAGTCGCCTCTGAGACTATTTCTCTCCGTTTCATTGCTTGTTGTCACTTACATTCAGTGAACCTCTCCCAGTGTCACTGAGCTGAGTGAGCCGGACTCACCGCACTGAGAGCATTTGGTGAGAGACTGTACCGTCTCTTGCGTATTCTGTGCTATTATTAGAATGCTCTTCTACTTAGTCTGAAATTCAGTGATTTTGTTTTTGAATTCTTAAACCACGGTTTGCTAAAAGAATAGATTTTAACTAACATAGATTTAAATCTATTAACATAGATTTTAACTAACATGCTACCTCCTACCCTACTCACTATGTCAAACCATGAGAAGCTGTGGACTTTGTCATTATTACCTTTTATTATGCACTAATTACATAAAGATCATGCCTTCTCCATGCACCAGAGAAGTCTTTCTTAATCCACTGAATTAATCTTTGACCAAGTTTCCTGGCGTGCAGGATCTCCCAGAGGGAAGGAGACTTAACTCTCTTGGGTCACCATGTCCTTCCATTCTGAGGCCTGTGTGTGGATTGAGTTACCAATGAGCTAGATTCCCATCTGGACTCGTCAGGGGTATGTGGCAGCCCGATAAATTAAAGGCCCTCGTGAGGTGATTCCAGCCCCATTTTTTAAATTCCATTCTGTCCAAGCTTCTTTCCTTCTTTTCTACAAGGACCAGCCTGAGAAAACAGAGCTATAGAGCAAGTCTGCACCCACCCCCAATCTTAGCCTTCCTGTGAGTATTCCAATTATTGGGGCGAGGGCAGGGGGCGGTGTAGAATCCCACTACACTGTGTGACAGACCCATCTGGTGCCACATGCTTTTGGCTTAGCTTCTCATTTCACATGGAGCTTCAGTACATATCACGTTGACAGACTCACCTCGTGTTGACAGCCTGTCACTTCAAGAACACGCCACACATCTCTTTGTTTTCTGACCCAAACTCCTTTAATGCCTCCAGAGACTACCTGGCCTTGTTCCAATGGGAGTGGCAAGAGCACAGCCCAGAAGTGCTGGGGAGTTAATGTCCCCAGGGGCTGCCCTCGACCAACTGGAGCCAGAGGTCAGTTAGTAAGTGTCCCCCTCCCCAGTCCCTCAGTGGCCAATTTCCCAGGCTGCTCCCAGTGGGATCAAGGCCCCCTTGCCCATGGCAGTGATCTTCTTAACTCAACTCACAGTGGTTTCCCTCCTTTCTTCTCTCAAAGCCCCAGTCCTTTGCATCTGCCCTCTGAGCATACCTCTCACATAAGCTGTCTGCACACAGATCCTGGCTTTCCGCTTTTCAGGGTAACCATGTAAGGACCACGGTCATGGAGTTCCAAGTCTAACAATCTCCTCTTACAAGTGCTGGTTCAGGGACATGCAGGGTCCAGAGCCCATTCTCTAGACTCCTTCAACTGCCCTAAATAAAAGTGAGAAGACCCTTCCAAGTCCATGCTAGACTTTGGGCCTCTGCATTTGCTATTTCCTCCACCTGGGATGTTCTCCTTAGCTTGTCTTTCAGTCTCAGCTCAGCTTGATAATTCCCCAGAACCCTTGTCTGACCAGGACATTGAGAACAGCCCCATTCTTCAGTTTACTATGACATCACCCTAGTTTGTTGTTTTGATAGCTCTTACCACTGCCTGATGTTATATTGTTTATTTATTTGCATGTTTCCTGTGAGTCTACCCTTCACTAGGAGCTTGCCTGTCTTGTTTCCTGCTTTACTACATCCCCCCCGTATATAGTCAGTGTTCAACATTGAGATGGAAGAAATGACAGCTATCCACAAACTTCACTTGCTCTTGTTGTGACAGTGTGACTACTGATTTTGATTACTCCATTCACCAAATGGAGTTTTGTTTGAGTATAACCTGATTTTGATTGGACCATTGGAAAAGAGTTTAGCCCTCTGGCTGGTTGAGCCCATCAGTTACCACTTCTGAATTTCTGCTATATTTCAAGGTCCCAGAGTGGTGGAAGAGGCACTGTGGGTTACTCATCCATGGCCACAGTCTTTTCCCTGGTGCTCTGTATCCTAAGCTCTGGGTGGGAGAGCCAGAGAATCCATCAGTGTCACCAGAGCATAAAAGAAGATGGACAGGAGGAATAAAGAGATAAAAATACAAATCTTCACCCCATAATTTGGCATACCTTAGCTCAAGTATGTAGAATGGAGTGAGACGGAGACCCTGGGGAAAAGACATGTGGGGGGAAAATGCTTAGCCCTGGCTCTAGAACTTAATGGGGAAAAGGGAAGGAGCCCCGCTTGGCCACACATGGTTCAGATTAGTTTACCAAGAGAGGTGACCAAATGAAGATTTGAAGAAGCTGCTCCAGCTGAGAAGAACAGCCGTGCATCGTGGCTTATGCGTCTTGTGCTGTCTAGTCTCAGAAGCCTTAAATGAAGTGTTAGGAAACTGGATAAGAATGTGGTCCAGCAAAGGAGACATGAGAGAAAAAGCACGCTGGATACACGAGTCACCGTGCTTCATCAGCAATCACTTTCTGATGCTTCTCACTTGACAACACCCTCCCCACTGTTCCTCTCCCTACTCACATCTTTTCACTGCATGCTGCTGAGGTCAACCTTCAACCCGATACCCTTGCTCAGAGACCTTAACATGCAATCGTAAAATTTCAGAGCAGAGTATGGAGTTTTACAATAATATGGGGGGAAAAAACCTTAAGTGGAATTTTCCTTAGTCTCTGATGTGTACCTACAGTCTTAATTATTCCATGCATTCTGATTGGTAGAGCAAAAATTATAAAGATGTCTAAACACTGGTTACTTTAAGGATTTGCAGGATAGGCCAGAAGCAAATGGTCAAGTAGCTGGTCACAGAGATAGGGGCCTGCTGGCCTAGAACGCATCCACAGGATGAGGAAAAGGCAAACGGGAGAAACAAGATGCAGCCAGTATGTCCAAGAATTGGCATTTCATAAATAATTACTGATGCCTTTGGTCTCTCTGAGTCACTGATAAGCATCTCTTGTTTTCCTTAACCTCTTTTCTCCTTCCCTTCTATTATTTATGACTTGATTCTTATTTATCAGGTGCAAACTACGATTAACACAATATCATCACTGCCCTTAAATGCTCTTATACTGTTTGGGGGCAGGTAGACATATAAACAGGTAATACAAATAATGGTCTCCCCTTGGAAGGACCTGTCAAACCATTATACACTAAGGTGCTAATGACTCGTACGCAATAGCATAAACTATCAACATCTCCCAGGGACGTCTGCAATTAAATTGGGGATCTTGCCTTCAAACACTGACTTTTGTGGCATTTCAAGTGTTTGCATTTTCACTGTCATTATCTACCATGGTCCATATATTAATGTAGAGTGAATAACTGAGAGCATTCAAGTGCTCTCTCTTTTAAAAAAACATTTTATTCAGTCTTAGCTGGTATAGCTCAGCGGATTGAGCATGGGCCTGCGAACCAAAGGATCACTGGTTCAATTCCCAGTCAGGGCACATGCCTAGGTTGCGGGCCAGGACCCCAGTAGGGGGTGCATGAGAGGCAACTACACAGTGATGTTTCTCTCCCTCTGTTTCTCCTTCCCTTCCCCTCTCTCCAAAATTAAATAAACAAAATCTTTGAAAAATATATTTTATTCATTCATTTTTGGAGAGAGGGGAAAGGAGGAAGAAAGAGGAGAAAAACATCGATGTGAGAGAGAAACATCAACTGATTGTCTCTCACATGCCTCCAGCTGGGGACTGGGCCACAACCCAGGCATGTGCTCTGACTGGGAATTGAACTGGTTACCTTTTGTTTTGTGGGATGAAGCTCAACCAACTGAGCCACACTGGTCAGGGCCAAGCTCTCCTACCACGGCTACTATGCAAAAGGGAATTATTTTAAGAGTGGTGCACAAAAATTCCCTGTCCCATCCAAAATTTACCTCTGATGAGTCATTGCTGATATTCCCAATGAAAACTGTTTATAATGAGTTTTTCCATAAATGCATAAAGTGGAGCAATATATCATTTTATGGTACCATCTAGTTACAGATCTACTGGAAACATCTTAGCACAATTTGTCCTCATGCCAGTTGAAATGACTCACCCTGGCACAGTGCCACATATGCCCCAGCACCAGAAGGATGGTGGGTAGAAAACCTATCGCAGAGCTATAACCTAGAGTAACCTCAGCCTTTAATGGGTATAATATTAAACCGTAAAAATCATGACTTCATAACTGAGTACATGCTGCAGTAAGATCAGACGCAGCCCTAGAGCAGGAATTTGTTTCTACTCCCAGCTCTGTTAATTACCTAGCCACGTGGCCTTGGGCAAGCCTTGCTGTTCGCATCTATAAAACAGGACCGTGAGGTTCAAGGAATCCAAGGTTCTACCTACCTCTATCCTTGCACAGGAGCTAACGTTAACTGCGGACTTAGAAGGAACAAAAGCATTTTCTGGACTCTTTGTTGCACTCATCATCTAAGTGTTTTTCTCATGCGTTTCCAAATCGTGGTTCGTTGTACATATTCATAGATTTACATGAACTTGACAACTTACCAAATAAATGATCAGAAAGAGAAAATTCATCCGTGGCAGGTAAGTGAGAGTGTTGGATGAGATTCATTTTTGATCCCATCCAAACTTTTCTATTTGAGAATGCACCTTTGTTATTGTGGTCTTCAAAACAACACCCTGAAAGGCAAATAAATAAACAGAGAGTTCAGGGAAGAGGAAGGAGCTAGTCAAGAGAGAGGAGGAGGGAGAGTGCGAACTAATTTACAAAACAGCGAATGGCTCCCTTTTGTCATTTGCCAAGGCCTTTCTGTACGTATTTGCTGTCACTATGTATCATTTTTACACCTCGTCTGAACTTATCCATGTCCAGGGTGTGTGCTTTTGGAAGAGATACTCTCTGATTTATCTAGGAAACATCATATAGTCTCATTTAAATTTCAACACTTGGGAAATTTGGGCAAAGTGTAATGACATTTTGGTTGTCTTTATTTCTTTAACACACAGAAAAAATAGAAACAAATATAAAGGCCTCGAATCAATGATTTAATATCTTAAATTTCATTCTAAAATTGAACAGTTTTTTGCACGGATACAAAAGTAATTTAAGACCACTTTCTACTGGAATTTTCTTGAGTAGGCACTATGTCGGCAAATCAAAAATTCAGAAAACATTTCCCCAAGATCTTTATATTTGCCTTTCAGAGAAAATTTAAGGGATTTTCATTTTTACTCTCATGGTCTGCCTTGGCCATTTTTTTTTATCTAGGATAAAAAGAAGTTATGATAAATAGAAAAAATAATGGTAAATCTCACCAAAATGTCTGAAGTTGCATCATGAGTAGATGTACGGATTTCATTCAAGAACCTGAGAGCAGCAGTGTTCACTTTTAGTTTTATCTCTAAGTCTTCTTTGCTTCCTTCTTTTCTTCCTTCCAATATGTCTTCTACCTCCCTGAAGAAGGAATTTGAAAGGTCAAATAATAAAAATATGTGCTATCAGCCCTGGCTGGCGTAGCTTAGTGGATTGAGTGCGGGCTGCGAACCAAAGCATCGCAGGTTCAATTCTCAGTCAGGGCACATGCCTGGGTTGCAGGCCACAGCCCCTAGCAACCGCACATTGATGTTTCTCTCTTCCTCTCTTTCTCCCTCCCTTCCCTCTCTAAAAATAAATAAATAACACCTAAAAAAAAAAAACCAGTTTTAAAAAATATGTGCTATCAGAACTTCCTTTCCAAGGCTGTTTTCTGAGGGTGACTTTCAAATCTTTTTATCCTATCTCCACAAGGAAATCACTTTGTTTACAAATATATAAATATTTATATTTTCTACTCAGGAAGGGAATATAGGGGTTTTTTATTGGACTAATATTTATTACATTAGGACTGCCCTACTATTCGTGTCTCTCTTTCTCCTTCGGTCAGCGAAATGATCCAGCTCCAGCAGAGGTGGGCGGCAGACGTGGCTGCCGGGGAGACAGTCCACCAATCCGTGTTTGCCGCATTCATTCACTGATTCATGCTTTCAAAACACGTTTGCTGCCCTGGCTGGCGTAGCTCAGTGGATTGAGCGTGGGCTTCGAACCAAAGTATCGCAGGTTCGATTCCCAGTCAGGGCACATGCCTGGGTTGCAGGCCATGACCCCCAGCAACCACACATTGATGTTTCTCTCTCTCTTTCTCCCTCCCTTCCCTCTCTAAAAATAAATAAATTAAATTAAATTAAAAAAAAAACACATTTGCTGAGGACGTATTCAGCACTAAGCTCTGTGGTAGATCTTTGGAAATAAAATGATGAAAGGGACCCACAGTCTATGACATCAAGCTTAATGAGGAATAGAGATATTAGAAAATAATCACACAAACACACAGACCATTACACAATGTACTCAAAGCTGTTGAGGAAGATGAGGATTAGGGTGCTCTAACAGACAGGTCAGGTGGGAAAAGGAGTCAAGACAAGGAAGCAGCAGAGGGAGGCTGTGGTTTCAAGGGCAGCTTTTACTTTACTTTAAATTTTCTTCAAGTGCAGTTCACATTCAATATTATTCTGCGTTAGTTTCAGTGGTGTAGCATAGGGACATATACTCAGACGATCACATTACACTCCACAAGTTGTTTCCCCTGATATTCCCAGTACCCAACTGGCACCGTCCGGTTATTATAATATTATTGACTCTACTCCCTGTGCGGTACTTTAGATTCCCATGACTATTCTGTAACTACAAGTTTTACTTCTCAATCCCTTCGTCTTTTTCTACCAGCCCCCCGACACCCCTCCCCTCTGGCAACCATCACTCTGTATCTATGAGTCTGTTTCTGTTTGTTCACTGATATTGAAGATATCACTGATATCACATTTTTAATAACAACATTGAACCGCCTAGTCAAACAATTGTAAGAGCTACCCTACCTGTAGACATCTCATCATGATGGGCAGTACTCCACAGGGTACATCTGAATTGATGAGAACACACGGCGTGAGGGGCTGAAGAAGTTATAAAAGGGGAGAATCTCCTATGAGAGGGTACAAACTGTGTTCACTGTGGGAATGCAGACATACTCACGTCCATGTGATGAACCAATGGCTTGGCATGGTCCTACCAAAGTCTACTGTCCAGCAAGCCAAAGGACTTTTTGGAAGGAAACTCATTCTAAAGTCAGAGGGAGCCAGGAAGCATGACCTTCACCCCGAAGCCAAGCCACACTCATCAGAGGAATGTGTAATTCTCAATGTGGCACAGTGTTTGACCAACCTGTACTGGATTCAAGAGGCCTTCTTGCCACACTGGTGTGGAAAGGGAGGAAGTTAAAAATAAAAATGAAGCTTGGACACATCGAAGTCTAAGAAAGACCTTTCTAACAGAACACAATAAGTAGGAGAGAGAACTCATCTCAACTCCAGCCTCACCCTCCAACAACTCCGCCACATGTCACAGTGGAACTTTGACCCCAACAGGACTCAGGGCCATTCTGGGGCAATTGTGAAATAGCCCCAGATTTCACAGATTGTGGCTGCTGAGGTATCACCATAACCCGTGAGACCGTCCAGCAGAGGAGCTGTGACCACTGGTTGGGTCCTGCTCTCTGCAACGCACACAGAAAACAGCAGAATAAGTGGCCGGAGCAGCCTGGATTATGAACAAACATGAGGAGACCCCAGAGCACTCCGGAAATACTGGCAGGGAGGAGGACTCTGGTAGGGAGCTGCAAGTCCTAAAGAATAAGCCAATAAAAGTTGTTATTAATGGGCCCTCCTTCATCCTCACAAGCTGCTTGAGGACCTGGGAAGTTCAAGTTTTAATATGTGTAGTGAATTGTTATGTATCTATTTAATGTGTATATATTTTTTAATTTTAAATATATTTTATTGGTTATACTGTTACAGTTGTCCCATTTTGCCCTTTTGTGCCCATCCACTTGGTACCCCGCTTTCCTCCAGCATTCTTCCCCTTAGTACATGTCCATGGGTCGTGCATGTAAGTTCTTTGGCTACTTCATTACCTCTACTGTTGTTAACATCCCCCTGTGTATTTTGTACCTACCAATTTGTGCTTCTTTAATCCCTGCACCTGTCCCCCCCATTTTCTCCCTTCCCCCCCCAACAGACAACCCTCCAAATCATCTCCATATCTATGATTCGGTTCCTGTTCTGGTTGTTTGCTTAGTTTGTTACTTGGATTCCATTATTGATAGCTGTGAATTTATAGCCATTTCAATGTTCACAGTTTTGATCCTTTTCTGATATAAGTCCCTTTAGCATTGCATATAATAATGCCTTGATGATAATGAACTCCTTTAGTTTTACCGTGTCTGGGAAGCGCTTCATCTGCCCTTCCATTCTAAATGATAGCTCTGGATAGAGCAATCTTGATTGTAGGTCCTTGCTTTTCATCACTTTGAATATTTCTTGCCAGTCCTTTCTAGCCTGCAAAGTTCCTTTTGAGGAATCAGCTGCTAGTCTTACAGGAACTCCTTTGTAGGAACTTGCTGCTTTTAAGATTTCTTCTTTATCTGTAACCTTTAGCATTTTAATTATGATGTGTCTTGGTGTGGTCCTCTTTGGATCCAACTTGTTTGGGACTCTCTGTGCTTCCTGGACTTGTGTGTCTGTTTCCTTCACCAAATTAGGGAAGCTTTCTTTCATTTTTTTTTCAAGTAAGTTTTCAATCTCTTGTTCTTCCTCTCCTCCTTCTGGTACCACTATGATTTGGATATTGGTACATTTAAAAAATGTCCCAGAGGTTCCTAAGCTTATGATTGTTTTTTTTTTTAAATACTTTTTTCTTCCTGCTGTATTTACTGATTGAATGTTTTTTCCTTCCTTGTGTTCCAAATTGTTGATTAGATTCTCAGCTTCATCCCCTCCACTATTGGTTCCCTGTAGATTTTTCTTATTTCACTTAGTGTAACCTTCATTTCTGCTGGGTCTTTTTTATGCCATTGAAGTACCCAGTGAGTTCCTGGAGCATTCTGATAACCATTGTTTTGAACTGTGCATCTGACAGATTGCTTATCTCCATTTCATTTAGTTCTTTTTCTGGAGCTTTGTTCTATTTTTTCATTTGGGCCATATTTATCTCCTCATTTTGGCAGACCCCTGTATTTCCGTGTTAGGTAGAGCTGTTTTGACTTCCTGTAGTAGTAGTGTGGCCTACTGTAGAAAGGGCACCTATTAAGTTGTATGGGGTGGAGCCTTAGGTAATTGCCAGGGCGGGGTAACACGTATCACAGCTCCGTTGCTCTGTGTTGGGGAGCACTTGCAGAGGGGACAATGCTGCCACCTGGCCTCTGGCGTTTTCCTGTCTCCTGACACTCACACTTCATCCTCTCCCCATATGCCACTGGTGCCCCCCCAGCTGCTGCCCTGGTGCTGAACACTAGAGGGAGTAAGTCTGCATGAGTCCTAAGTCCATGGTGGACCATTTAAAATAAGTCTCTTGAGAATCTCACAGTTTCTTACTCTACCTCAGCCCCCATTGGTTTTTATAGCCAGAAGTTATGGAGACTTATCTTCCTGACACTGGAACCCTGGAGTGGGTGGTCAGGGCTGGGGCTGGGATCCCTCACTCCCAAGACGTCCTCCCATTTTTTATCCACCACAGGCGGATGTGGGACTGCCCATCCTCTCTCTGCGTTTCTCTGCACCACTCGTTGTCTCCACGCCGCTTTGCGCCTCTCCACCTCTTCACTTTCCACGCATCTCTGATGCCTCTCCGCGCCTCTCTGCATCTCCACCCCTCCTCCCCATCTGGATGAATGCGGCTTCTTTAAACCCTTGGTTGTCAGACTTCCACGCAGCTCAATTTTCTGACAATTCTAGGTGATGTTTGTTTTGTAGTCTATTTGTATTTTTTGCTATAGTTGTGCATGGAGGCGAAGTGTGTTTATCTGCACCTCCACCTTGACCAGCTCAATGTGTATATATTTATACACCTGAACTATGTATAATTATATATGTGTCTGCATATTTTATAAGTGGATTGAAAAGTCTCAAAATTTATACAGCTATTGTTCCATATTGAGTTTCTCTTATTTTTGTGAGAGGAAATTCCAGCTTTCCCTGAAGACCCAGTTGCTCTGGCCTTTAAAAAAACAGGAGATTTCAGGTCTCTGACTCTTAGATTTTCCTCTATGCTAACTTTCTCCCATATTTGTCTTTTTTGACTCTTAGTCATGTTCATCAAGCTCCCCATCCTTAACACGGCACATAAGAGCTTTCTAGTATTTTCCAGGTACAATCACCTTCATTTTGGATTCTTACAATGTATTTCCCTCTATACACTCATATCAGCTTGGCATCTTCAATGCCAGTGCCTAGCACACAACAGACCCTCGAGAAATGTTACCTCAATTAAATGATTTGTACTGTTTTTTTCCTTAGTTCCTCCAAATCCCCTGACATTCACGTTCTTTCTGAATTTCATTCGGGAAGCTAAGAATTTCATTCTCCCGT